CTTTAGCTTATATCTTGGTCAAATGATAACCAATTGACAAGGAAAGACTACCAAGACACTCACCTTGACTCGCACTACAACCTTCATTAAGAAAGTTAAGCATAATAACAACTTTCATTTTGTCATCATCATTTGCCTATATTGACTACCAAGTCTTGAGTCCCAACACTTGGAAGTGAGTATTACTGGGTTTTGGGTTTTGGTGGTCTCTCATACTACAAAACATATGTCTGGGTTTCAGCACTTGATACTTGGTGAATTGTGTAATGAAATAAGAAATTTCATGTTATATACATTTTTTGAGATTCAGTTTTTGAGTCTTGAGATTCAGTTTGTGGTTTTTGGTTTTTGAGTTTCAGGTTTCAAGTCTTGAGTTTCAGGCTTCATGTTTCAGGCTTTGGCACTTGACACTTGGTGAATTGTGTAATGGAATAAAAAATTTACATGTTATATACATTTTTGTGAGAATTGGTTTTTGAGTCTTGAGTTTTGGTTTGTGATTGTTGGTTTTTGAGTTTTGGGTTTTGAGTCTTGAGTTTCAGGCTTCAGGTTTCAGGTTTCAGCACTCAACACTCAGTGAATTGTGTAATGAAATTAAAAAAATTCATGTTATATACATTTTTTTTGAGATTTGGTGTTTGGTTTTTGATTTTCAAACTTCAGGTTTCAAGTCTTGGCACTCAACACTTGGTGATTTGTGTAGTGAAAAATTCACATGTTGCATACATCTTTGGCACTTGGCACTCAGTGATTCAATAAATGGACTTCAAACTTTTTTGAGTTTTGAGTTTTGAGCTTCGGGTTTCAGGTTTCACTTTTTGTATATCTGGGGTTCAGGTTTTGGGGTTCGGCACTCAACACTCAGTGATCAGTGTAATGAAATAAAAAATTTACATGTTATATACATTTTTGTGAGATTTGATCCTCAAGTCTCAGGTGTTTGGGTGTTTGGGTTTTGAGATTCAGTGATTTATGGTGAATGAAAAATGGATATGTTGCACACTGGGTTTTGGTTTTTGGGCTTTTGGGCTTCAGTACTTGGTGATTGATGAATGTCAGACATGGTGTATTCAGGTTTTCAGGCTTTGGTGGTTGATGGTAGGTATATGCACTCATATAGTGAGTATGTACTCCATGTGCTCAATTCTCTGGTGCCTACATCAGCACACTGATTCATATGTTATTCAACTATCTCAGCCCAGTTATGTTTATTGCACTCATTTACCTGGGCCCACCCAACATGAAACTTCAGGTGTTGGCATTTGGTACTTGGCACTCGGTGAAGAGTTTTGAGTTTTGAGTTTTGATGTTCAAGTTTCAGGTGTTGGTACTTGGTACTTGGTGATTTGAGACTTGAAACTCATAAAAATGTACGAGTTTTGAGTTTTGAGTTTTGATGTTCAATGTTCTAGTTTCAGGTGTCAGGTTTTGGTACTTGGTACTCAGTGATTTGAGACTCGAAACTTGAAACTCATAAAAATGTATAAGTTTCGAGTTTCAAGTTTCAGGTGTCGGGTTTTGGTACTCAGTGAATGTCAGACAAAGTGTATTCAGGCTTTCGGGTTTTGGGTTTCTGTGATTGATGGTAGGTATATGCACTCATATAGGGGTATGTACTCCATGTCTTTGATTCTCTGGTGCCTACATCAGCAAACTGATTTGTTTGTTATCCAACTATCTAAGCCCAGTTATGTTTATGTGTGATTACAACTACCTTGGCCCACCCATCAATATAATATATATCACTACCTCAGCCTATACATCCATATGTCTATGGACCATCTTCTGAGGTATTGCTGGATTCTGAGTCGACAGGGTGCTTGGCTGTGTTGACTTTGATCAACATGGACAGGATCTGAGTCTGAATGTCATTGATGACTCAGATCAAAACTAGTGCAACAGCATTGCTCATATGTCCATATAGTATACCAATACCTCGGCCCATATGTCTAAATGATACATATCTGGGCCCACCTGTCTATATGACATCCCCCTATGTTGGCCCACCCATATATATAATAAAGATTTCACCACCCCATTGGCCCACCTGTATATATAATAAATATTTCACCACTCCCTCAGCCCACCTGTCTACAAAATAATACTAATACATCAACCCACCCATCTATATAATAATATCTGCCTTACATCTCTCTTCAGCCCAGCTGTCTATAATATATGTCTATCCTACTCTACAGATAGGCCCACCTATCTCCATTGGTAATAATATTTCTCCCAGCCCATCCGCCATCATCGAGGATATTTACAGTGGCTCAAAAAAGTGTCTGAATGTTTATGCATTTTCAAGTAATTGGATAATAGCAAGCCAGCACCTGAGTACAATATAAAGGCATAGGGGCACATCTAAAGGCTTGACATGGTTTGGATATAAAGTGTCATATCTGCATATCCGGATCTCAGATCCGACCCTTATCTCATCTCAGATCCACACCTTATCTCCGATCCTATCCACATCTTATCTCCCTCCAACATCTTGTCATTCAATCTGTCCACTCGTCCGGTCCGGTCCACAATTCATCCGAATCCACAACCAGTGCTTGTCTCCTTTTGGTAACCCCCTAACTCCGGTGTTTTGGTTATCTGTATATCTGTCCTGCTCCCTGATCCGTTACCTATGTTTCATTTCCATTTCATGATTTGTGATCTGTTTCTACTTACCAATAGACTATCCACATGCTTTGTACATAGCCTTGGACTCTGCTGATTGATCATTCCATTAGATACCTATAGTATATAACCTCCTGTAACTTTCTGTAGTACCTGAGTTCGAATATCATCTTAGTTCTACTCATTCCTGTCCTCTGGACTTGAGCATCTCTACTCTTGTCACCCTCTGAGACTTAGGATTGATTCCTATAGTCTATTTATCCGCCTCTGTCTCTGACAGTCTATTACCATTAGTTTCTAGTCTGGACTCATCTGGATTAGCCTTACGATACTTATCCCTCATCCGGAAGTCATCTGGATCTGTTACGCTACTCGACCGACCTTCTGGATGTGCTAGTCTTGCCTTCCTGAAATAAGGGGCAATACTCGGGTAAGGGGCACAGCACACAAGCTGAGGCCGAAGCCCTTTGGATCCAGTTATCCCTTGAGTATGACCTTACCATAAAGTCAAAAAGTGTCCGAATGAGTCATGTGATTAGAATTACCATATCTTGCCCATATATAGTCTAGTTCCCACGATATATATCTCAGATTATAGCTATGATGTCAAGCCTTTAGACGTGTCTCTATGCCTTTATATTGTACTCAGGTGCTGGCTTGCTATTATCCAATTACTTGAAAATGCATAAACATTCAGACACTTTTTTGAGCCACTGTATAACATCAGCATAGATGGGCCCACCCATCCCCATCAGAAATAATATCCCTCCTGGCCCACCTGTCAACATTGAGGATATACATAACATTGGCCCATAGTCCACTGGCCTATCTTATACAGGATATTATGTAGGTCAGGTGACCTATATAATATGGAGTTTGTCACTGAAGGGGCTTGACATCCATTGTCCACCCTAGTCAAAACCCAGAAACTCCAGACAACTGTTCAGCCCCTGGAAATTAAGGGCACATACTTGGGAAAGGGGCACAGCGTATGAGCTGAGGCCAAGCCCTTGTGATCTGACCCCTCTTGAGCATGTGTTAAGGTCATACTCAAAGGGTAACTGGATCTGAAGGGCTTCGGCCTCAGCTTGTGTGCTGTGCCCCTTACCCGAGTATTGCCCCTTATTTCAGGAAGGCAAGACTAGCACATCCAGAAGGTTGGTCGAGTAGCGTAACAGATCCAGATGACTTCCGGATGAGGGATAAGTATCGTAAGGCTAATCCAGATGAGTCCAGACTAGAAACTAATGGTAATAGACTGTCAGAGACAGAGGCAGATATGAATAGACTATAGGAATCAATCCTAAGTCTCAGAGGGTGACAAGAGTAGAGGTACTCAAGTCCAGAGGACAGGAATGAGTAGAACTAAGATGATATTCGAACTCAGGTACTACAGAAAGTTACAGGAGGTTATATACTATAGGTATCTAATGGAATGATCAATCAGCAGAGTCCAAGGCTATGTACAAAGCATGTGGATAGTCTATTGGTAAGTAGAAACAGATCACAAATCATGAAATGGAAATGAAACATAGGTAGCGGATAAGAGAGCAGGACAGATATACAGATAACCAAAACATCGGAGTTAGGGGGTTACCAAAAGGAGACAAGCACTGGTTGTGGATTCGGATGAATTGTGGACTGGACCGGACGAGTGGACAGATTGAATGATGAGATGTTGGAGGGGGATAAGATGTGGATAGCATTGGAGATAAGATGTGGATCTGAGATGAGATAAGGGTCGGATCTGAGATCTGGATATGCAGATATGACAAAGGCTCCCTTATCTGATCCTCACTATCCTCTTTAACTCCAAAGTGTGGACATGCAGGGTTCGGCATCTGATTTCCCAAGATCAATTCTATCATGACTGTTTCTTCCACTTCTGATATTGAAATAACCCTCTAGTGCACTTGGGCCCTGACTGTCACTCACAAGGCATGTGAATATACTGAACAGAAATTCAATGCAGAGAAGACAGGAGGAGACCCAGTTATACCTTCTCTGAACCTAGACACTGATCTGGTGATGGCTTGTGATCAATTGGTTGATCACCTCATAAAGGCATATAAAAATCCCAGTGGGTCTTCCTGCAGATTTGGAAATTTTGTTTTATCAGTCAAATTGCTTCATCACAGTTCAGATGCAGATCAATGTTGCAAGATATAGCAAATTGATCTCCCCAAAGGACACTGGGCATAATGAAGAGAGAGAGGAGAAACAGAAGGAAATTTGGGTGGCCTCTGATTTGCTTGCTCCAATCCTCGAAAAAGTGTCAAGCTTGATAGCAATTGGCAAACTAATCAAGAGTGGTTCAAACCAAGCTCAGAAAACGATGTCTTAACTCCCAGATGCATCAATTTGTCTCCAGCATGGTTTCAACAGGGGCACAAGGTAGGACCTGATGCGATGGTGATTTTGGTAGTCAAACTCACGAATCCCCTAGAATCAGTCAGATCCAGAGGTATCTGCATCATTGAAGGGGGCATCCTCCAAGAAGATCCTCAAAGCCATTGTGAGGCCAGCAGCCATTGCAACAGTGGCACTCAGGGTCATGCATCCTGAGCAGTACTGGGCAGGTTTGCAAGCCTTTTCGAGCCTCGGAGAAAAGGCAGAAAGCAAGGAACTGCCGAAGATGTCAGAGACTCTCCAGTACTGGGCATCCATGTTTAACAGCCTGTCTGTCATTTCCAATCGGGAAACCCCCAATCATTGAGACCATTTATCTATTCCTGAATGCTTCAACATTCTCACTACTGTGGGGAATTATTCTAATGCTCAGATGAGCATGCCAAGCCTTCAGCTGAAGTTCAGGTATGATCCAGGTTGCATGATTGTGTTTTCTGGAAGGATCATGAGACATGGGGTTCATGCAGTGGAAGGGGATTGGATTGCTTGGGCATGGTATATGAGGGATTCCATTCATGTTTATGCTGGGGTTCCATCATGTGGATGGGCTAGGGTGGATTACAAACAGTGAAAGATCAAACAAGTAGAAAGTGTAGTTACCCATGTTAGCACCTACTGTCAAATACCAGATATTAGATATCAGGATCTTGAATATTCAGGCCTTGATATCCAGAACTCAACACTCGATAGTCAGAACTAGATACTCAATATATTTGGGATTCAATATTTGGAACTCAATATTCGATATTCAATGGTCAATAGTCAATATTCAATACTTAATACTTGATAGTGGACATTCAGAACTCAATATTCGGAATTTGACATTCCATAATTGGGTCTTGAATATTGACACCCTGAATACTGAATACTGAATACTGAGTCCCTAATATCAAATATTGAGTCCTGACTAGTGAGTATTGAATATCAAAACCCAACTCAATAGTCAGGTCTTGATATTCAATATTCAGGTGTCGAAATTCAGGACTCAATATTTGATATTAGGGGCTTGTTATTCAGTATTTGGGTGTCAATAGTCAGGGACTTGATATTCAGTATTCAGTATTCAATAGTTGGGTCTGGATATCTGAATCTCAATACTTGATACTCAATGTTCACCATTTGGGTCTCAATATTTGGGACTCCACACTTGCAACTCAATATACCAGGTCTTGACATTCGATTCTTGATAGTCAAATATTGAGACCCGAATATCAAGACCTGACTACTGAGACCCAAATCTTGAATATCAAGAGTTGACTATCAAGGAATTCAACATTTGATATTCGGGTCTCAACATGCAGAACTTGGTATTTGGAACTTGGTATGCAGCACTTGGTATTCAGTATTCAGTATTCAATAGTGGGGTCTCAATATTCAGGACTCGACATTCAATGGTCAGGTCTCAACATTCAGTAGTCCATGTTTGGGACTCGGTATTTGGGACTCAGTATTTGGAACTTGGTACTTGATATTCAGGACTTGGTATTGGGGACTCAATATTATATTCAAGATTCAGGTGTTGATATTCGGGACTCAATATTCGATATTAGGGACTCAGTATTTGGTATTTGATAGCTGGGTGTCAATATTTGAGATTCAGGTGGCAACAGTTGGGACTTGATACTGGGTCTTGACATTCAATTCTTGATAGTTGAATGTTGAGACTGTTAAGAACCATGTTGCTCAAGGGAGAGAGACTGACTCAGAGGGGCTTGGCCTCAGCTCATATGCTGTGCCCCTTACCTGAGTATGTGCCCTTCATTTCAGAGGAAGTCCAATGATGGTCTGATGAAGTCCAGAGGACTTTCAGAGGCTGGCTACTCTGCTGGAGAGCACTAGAAGACTTCCAGAGGAGCGCAGGAAACATTTAGAGGAGTGTGGGAGAGTTCTGGAGGAGCGCAGGAAGTGCTCAGGAGAGTTCCCACTGCAAGGTAATACTTCTACAGGAAACAGGATGGAAGGATAGGAGGTCCAAAGGTCCAGAGGACAGGAGGACAGGAGGACAGGAGGACAGGAGGACAGGAGGGCAGGAGGGCAGGATGACAGAGGACAGAAGGACAGGAGTATAGGATGTCTGAGGGTTAGGAGGACAGAACGTCCGAAGGACAGGATGCCTGGAGGTACAAGGGACAGGAGGTCCGGAGGTCTGGAAGGAATAGGGGCTACATCAGATGAAGTCTGATGTAGAAGCAAACAGAGGTAGACTACCCTAAGGTAGAGTCAGAGAGACAGGGATTGGACCTAAGTCCGGAAAGAGGGAAAGTGCCGGAAAGGCGGAGCTCCAGCCTAGGGAATCAATCCCTAGGCCTGATGGGTAGGACAGACTTAGGTGGACCAAAGTCCGAGAGAGGATTGGGCAAGTCTAAGTTGATATTCAAACTAAGGAAACTACAGGAGTATCTACAGGGGTTATATACTGGAGACTATCTGAGGGGATCAGTAAGCAAAGGAGCAAGGCTATGTATGAGCATGTGGAAACACATTAGTAAGTAAGACAGAACATAAGTAAATGAACTTGGAGATGAAGACTCGTACAAGGATCAATAAGCAAGACAGAAGAAGAGGTAACTGAAAGCTGGAAAGCAGAGAATGCCTAAATGGGGATAGGCGCAGGATATTGGACAGAGGGTGGGAATAGGTCTGGAGATCTGGGGATCCAGAAGACAAGATGGATACAGGACTGGGATATGAGAAGGTGGATAGAGTCTAGAAACTGAGATGAGGTGAAGTCCGGATGTCTTGCTGGATGGAGTGTACATAGGGTGGATGGGACAGGGGGTTATGGTTCAGGCTAGCAGTGGAGATCTGATGGTCCGGAGCTCAGGGGTAAATCTGGAGCATAGTCAATCCTGCTGAGGTGTGGAGCACACAGTGGAAGGGGATCTGGGAATGAGTTGGATATGAAGTGTGGTCCGGACATAGGCTCAGAAGGCATGGGAATATGATGGAACATGGGTCCAGATTGTGGGATATGACAGAGACCTGAATATCAAGACCTGACTATCAAGGAATTCAACATTTGATATTCAGGTCTCAACATGCAGAACTCAGTATTTGGAACTTGGTATGTGGCACTCAGTATTCAGTATTCAGTATTTGGTATTTGATAGTGGGGTATTGATATTTGGGACTTGATATTTGGAACTCAACATTTGATGGTCGGGTCTTGAGATTCAGTAGTCCATGTTCAGGACTCAGTATTGGGGACTCAATATGATATTCAAGATTCAGGTGTTGATATTTGGGACTTGGTATTTGGTATTTGGTATTTGGTATTTGATAGTTGGGTGTCAAGATTTGAGATTTGGGTGTCAATAGTTGGGACTCAATATTTGGTATTTGGTATTTGATAGTTAGGGCCATGATATCTGAATCTCAATACTCAATACTCAATATTCACCATTCAGGTCTCGATATTCAGGAGTCCACATTCACAATGCAATATATGATTGTCTGTACTCAATACTCAATATTCAGTATTCAGGACTCAGCACATAATGTTAGGTTAGATATTTGGAAGACTGTATGTCATTTTCATGGAGTTTGGACATCAACATTCTGAACTCAAGGACTAGCACTACTCTCCTCTTCCTCTCTTCAATCTGGTTAGGATGCTGGTGTACACTTCAATCTCTGCCATCTTTTCACTGATGCCCTCTTCTTGCTCCTCAACCAATGTCCAGAGGTGTTCTCTAAGCCACCTCAGTCCCATCAGTGATGGAACCAATGTGTTATCCACCTGCTCAGGAAGAATCAGACCATCGTTCTCAATGCCACCCTAGAACAGATTAATCATCACTTGAGGGAATTGTTCATAGTTCTTACTAGCCAATGCTGGTAGTGAAAGATACAGCAACCCATTACCTGGTCCCATTGCCATAATTCATCCAGGATTGCAGTGCGTCTGATCCACCATGCAGTATCATAGCCAGATATAATCCTGGAGGGATCTCCCAGATCTGCGATATCATGAAAGAGACATAAGTGGGATGAAAAGACATGGTCCAGAACTGTGTTCCAGGTGAGCTGGGGAAACAACTGAAGAATATGAGCAACCAGGTTTGGAATAACCAAGATGATGTGCCTTGCAGCCGAGTACTGCAGGATGGGTGTCACAAAAGTCTGTTGGAAATCTCAGCATTGACCACCACAGTCACCAGTCTCTTACAGTGATCTCCCATTGCAGCCCAGCTTTAAAGTGCATGATCCAAGCAGCAGAAGGCTCCTCAGTGTTGGCAGCCTCTATCTGATATTGGGAGATAGATCCATAAATCCCAACCCATCAGAAAGCCACACTTCATCAAATGGCTTGATGGGATGCAGGTGTTCAGCTTTGAAATTTCCATCCATAACAAATGACCAGGTGTATTTCCAGCTTGGAGTTGTTATTATTGCTGAGGTGACTTTGGTATTGAACTAGACTCACTCATCAAGTGATTCATCCCCTGACAAGGATATATTAATCCCAGGCTGAGGACATGTGGGGCAAAACAATGTGAGATCTCCTGCATTCAGGTTGTTGGAATGATAGCCAAATCCATGCCATTTCATGGCCTTCAACTGCCTCCACTGTCAAGTGACTCTCATGAGCTCTCTGTATTGGTCCTTGCCATGTGCTTTGTCAATATGATGTCCTTTAGATGTCAGAGATTTGGCATTACCAGAACAAGATGTGGAAACATGCTCGAGGTCATTCACCAGAGCTTGCTGTAATAGTTCATTGCCAAGGTGCTGCATTTGAGGGTGTCCAATAGAAAATCATTGAGCACCCTGAAGGTGAACAAAGTCTTTGGCTTGTTAAATGATGTGGGAAAAAATCCATGTCAAAATATCTGAATGTCTGGACTCATGGCATTTGGACAATCACAGCATTAAACCTCAAGGCGGTAAACTCCAGGCTTGTCAATGATGACCATGGTGTTTTCCTTTGGCTGGAACTCAGGTCCCGACACAGATGGTCAATCTTCAGGCTCAAGCTGGTCTTCATGCTCATCTTTTTCAAACAAATCCCACCTATCTGTGAGGACTGGACATTGTTTGCCATCATGACCAAGGTGTATGATGAGTCCAACATGAGTGAAACAACTCTGCTTGAAGAATTGACCACTCCATTGACTGATCCAGTGGAAAGGATTGCAACAATGTTGACTCCTGTAACAGCCAGTGTTCTAGTGGATGTGGACTTGAAGGAGCCTTCAAAGTTGCAAAATTGGGACACTATGGCCTTACTCAATTTCTGGCATGCTTGGCAGGAGAAAGGCAAAGGACCAACATTCCTGTTCAAAGCATGGAAGAACAAAGATGGAGATATGGTAGCATTGGTTGTGTCTGGGAATTTGCCTTCTCATCAGACTCATAAAGTCAGAAAGCAGATAATCTGAAGGCCTTGGAATTTGTCAACCGACACCAAGAACAATCCTGGGAGTAATCCTGAGAGTGACTTTCATCACATGGAGGATGATGCTGATGATGATGCAGCCAATGGTAGATTCCCACAAAAGAGACCCAGAAGAGAGCCAGGTCCTTTGACAGCACATAAAGGGACAGCAGTCCCACATGCAATTCCAAAGCCTCGCCAAGTCAAGGCAGCAAAAACTGGTGCACTGTTGACATCTCAAATAGGCGACCTCCTGGCTGGGTTGACTGACGGAGTTACCAGCAATGTTGAGGAGGATGTTGCAATGGAAGGAGGGCACACATCTCCAGTGCCAAAGAACATGCAGGGAAAAAAAGCAGCAATTGAGCCATCGGTGAGGACAACCTGGAGTAAATCAACTCAATAGCCATCAGACAATACCCCTCGAGTGACAAGAGCAAGGGGAAAGAAGTAATGGACTGATACTACACTACCTGCCTTTATGTACATGTCAATGTTATTCAATCTCTATGGCTCAGGAGTTCCTGAGTGTTGAACATGGAAGTTTAAGTCTCAGTTTGGCTCACTGAGTCCCGAGTGTTGAACACCAAAGTTCAATTCTCAATTGAACTTGGGACTTGATGATCCTCCATAAAGTGAGAATTGAACTTTGGTGTTCAACACTTGGGACTCAGGTGAGCCAAAGTGAGACTTAAACTTCCATGTTCAACACTTGGGAACTCCTGAGCCTCCAGAGCTCAATTGGAAATGGAAGAGGAATGCATTGCAAATTCAGTTGTTTACATGATGTGGGTATGTTAATGAAAATTCAAAAGTTTACATGTGATTTGACTACTATCAAACATTCGGTACTTTACGTTTGAATCTGATCTTCAAACCAATTGATCAGTGAATCTACTACCTTGAGCATTTTGATGCTCATCCATTGGGCTCTTTGCAACCTCTGGAGGTCTGCATCAGCCCTTCTGAGTGTGTCAGAAGTTTCTGCCCAAGCCATCTGGAAGGGTCACTTGGCCTCGAGTAGCATTGGAATTGAAGGATCAGGAAGATCCTGAGTATGGTGTTTGTAACCACCAAGTCAATCTTGAACAGATTGCACTTGCAGAAAAATTAGCACAGAGATAAATGATCTGCTTTGTCAGATACTCACACCCAGTGTGTTTGTATGACCCGAATGGTCAGAACTCCTGGGACATTGATTGTAAATCTTCATTAGTGAGCTCTGGCTGCTTTGAATGAAGTTTGGTAGAGGTGTCATCTACTTGGGAGATACAATACAGTGGCTCAAAAAACTGTCCACATGTTTTGACATTTTTCACTATCTATGATATTGTGTGAGAACGAACAAATGCCTCAAGAACATGGTTATACCACATTGTAGTATGGCTTCAGGGCTTTCATTTGAGCCCTACACCGTGGGAATCGGTGGAGATATGGTGGAGATACAAGGCTCACAAAATGGTGACTCATGCAGACAGTTTTTTGACTCAAGTATTTTACAATAATAACCAGGTATTCTAGTATTTTGTATGACCTCCCTTGGCTTTAATTACTGCCTCTATCCTTCTAGGCATACTCTCAATTAATTTCTGGTAATCCTCAGCTGTAATCTTCCCCCATTCCACTGCTACTCTCTCCCAAAGCTCCCATACTCCTTTAGGGGGGTTTTCATAGGCTTGAAGCTTTTTATTGAGTGTTCCCCAGAGATGTTCAATGACATTGACATCAGGAGACTGTGCTGGCCAGTCAAGAACATTGATGTTATGTTCTTCAAACCATTCCTTAGCTCTTCTGGATATGTGCTTGGGATCATTATCCTGTTGGAAAATGATATCTTCTTCATCAATCCCTGATTCTGCCAAGCTAGGCAGCAAGTGGTCATTTAAAATGTCCACATACTGCTCAGCATTCATCTTCCTCTCAACCTCAGCAAGCATTCCCACACCATTCCATCCCATACAGCCCCATACCATTAAAGAACCTCCTCCAAACTTGACAGTCCAATTAACCTCTCTGTCTGTTAGGCCATCTCCCTTCTTTTTCCATACATATACCTTCCCATCTGACCCAATCCTATTGATTTTGGTCTCATCTGACCATATAACATGCTTCCAGTCCTCTACAGTCCAGTGTTGATGAGCTAAGGCAAAGGCTAGTCTTCTCTGCCTATGTTTGATGGAGAGAAGAGGCTTTTTCTTCTTTGTTACTGCCTTGAGATGAGCTGCCTTGAGAACATTCCTCACAGTTTGTGAAGAGACAGGGGTAGTGATGGTGGAATTGATATAATGGGTGGCTTGGACAGCATTATCAGCCTTTCCTGTAGTGATATGTTGAATAATAGCCCTCCTATCAGTAGAGGTGAGCTTGGATGGATGCCCTTCACAGAAGTTTTCCTTGTCTGTGTGACTTTCTTTGATGAACTTGGCCACAGTGGACTTGGATACTCCAGTTCTAGAGGAAATTTGACAAGCAGAGAGGCCAGAATAGGAAAGAGAGAGGATATTATCCCTTTGAGCAGGGGGGTGGCTTTCATGGTGAATATAACCATGACATATGGAAATTTTTGGTTTGTATAGTTAGATATGGTTTTAAAATAACATAATGACACCACTTCATAATTTATATAATAGTGGTATGATTTTTGTGGTGTCATTAATGATGATTTATATAGTTTTAATATGTGCTCAAAAAACTGTCTGCATGAGTCATGATTTTGTAAGCCTTGTATCTCCACCATATCTCCTCTGATTCTCACGATGTGGTGCTTAATCCAAAGCCCTGAAGCAGCACTACAATATGGTATTAGCATGTCACTGAGGTCTTTATGTATTCTCACACAATATTGTAAATAGTAAAAAATGCAAAAACATGTGGACAGTTTTTTGAGCCACTGTATGGATGGTCTATTAGTAAGTAGAAATGGATCACAACTAATGAAATGGAAATGAAGCATAGGTAATGGATCAGGGGGCAGGACGGATATACAGATAACCAAAATACCAGAGTTAGGGGATTACTGAAAAGAGACGAGTGCTGGTTGTGGATTTGGATGAATTATGGACTGGACCAGATGAGTGGACAGATTGGATGACGAGATGTTGGAGGGAGATAAGATGTGGATAGGATCTGAGATGAAATAAGGATCAGATCTGAGATCTGGATATGTGAATATGACAATGAGAAAGGACTATAGAATGCTTGGCAAAGGCTGTGTTAAGACCATAACACTGCCATGTTTTGTAATAATGTTTGGTAAGAGCTGTGTTAGCACTGCCTTGTTGCTGTGCTTTACCAATCATCATCTTTCTAATCATAGTATCAATTTGTCAGGTTCCACAGCTTTGGATGCATAGATACAAATAAAGTGGCATAAAATGTTGACACATGTTTATTTCATATGCAAGAAAGATAAGTGGCATAATCATGACCATGTATGAAACAAGTTTCATGTGTGTCAATGGGTGGGCTGAGGTAGTCATATATTATACAGATGGGTGGGTTGACATGGTAGTATATTGTACAGACAGGTGGGCTGAGAGTGTGGTGAGATATTTATTATATAGATGGGTGGGCTGACATGGTAGTATATTACATAGACAGGTGGGCCGACATAGGGGTATATTACATAGATGGGTGGGCCAATGTAGGAGGATGTTATATAGACAGGTGGGCCAAGGTAGTGAGATATTGTGTACATGGGTGGGCCCAGATACATATCATATAGATGTATGGGCCAAGGTATTGGTATACTATATGGACACATAGGCTGAGGTGGTGATATATATTATATTGATAGGTGGGCCAAGGTAGTTGTTATCATATACATAGGTGGGCCCAGGTAAATGAGTGCAATAAACATAACTGGGCTTAGATAGTTGGATAACAAATGAATCAGTGTGCTGATGTAGGCACCAGAGAATCGAACACATGCAGTACATACCCACTATGAGTGCATATACCTACCATTGACCACCAAAACCTGAAGCCTGAAAACCTGAATACACCATGTCTGACAATCACCAATCACCAAGTCCTGAGGCCTGAAAGCTAAATCCTGGTGTGCAACATATCCAATTTTCTAACATCACAAATCACTGAGTCTCAAAACCCAAACACCCCAAACTTGAAACTCGCAAAAATGTATATCATGTAAAATTTCTATTTCCTCACAAATTTCACTGAGTGCTGAGTGCCAAACCCTGAACACCTGAAACCTGAGACTCAATGATACAATTCACTGAGTGTTGAGTACCAAAACCTGAAACCTGAAACCTGGATATATGTTTTGTAGTACCGGGTTTCAGGTTTCAGTACTCAACACTTGGTGATTTGTGCAATGAAATGAAAAATCCACATGTTATACATTTTTTTGAGATTTGGTTTTTGGTTTTTGAGTTTCAAGTTTCAAGTTTCAAGTTTCAAGTTTCAAGTTTCAGTTTCAAGTTTTGAGTTTTGGGCTGTGGCACTTGGCACTTGGCACTCAACAATGGACTTGTGTAATATCTTTGAAAAATCACATGTTATATACATTTTTTTGAGTTTTGGTTTTTGAGTTTCAGGATTTGAGTTTGAGTTTTGGGCTTTGGGTTTCAGCACTCAGCAATTGGTGATTCAATTTTACAGTTGTGGCAGAGGTAAAATTCATTTAAACAAAATCTATAGAAATCTATCACTATGAAATTATGTAGCCATGTCAACCTCAGCCAAATAACCCTCAAAAGAACCTTCAACCTTCACCTCAACATCCATATCATCACCAGAATCATATTCTGGGACAAGGTTGTGCAGATCAGCCAGGCCCACAATTTCCCTGGAACTCTGGGGACCCTTGGGAGTTGGCAATGGGTCTGGTAGTGGTTGAACTTGGCTGAGCTCAAACATGAAACCCTTGATGATAGAGGAATCCCTGAATTTCAGGGGTGTGGGCTCCATCCCTGGCATCGACAGATCAATGAGAGGAGGGAGTGCTGATTCAGGGGGTGACATGGACTCCAGGACAGCTTGATCAAGCAACAACAATGTTGCATTGGCAGGAGTGTCAGGCAGTGGAAATGATAGATGGTGGTCGATGATTTTGCATAGAAGGCTTTCATGGAGGCATTGCAGGGTATAAATCATACCACCCTGCTCAACCACAAGAGCCTCAAGAGTGGTGATTAGAGCTGCACCCTCCCAAATCACCATCAACATGGCATGGAAGTCTGGCATGGGCACATCAAGTGCTGCAGGAGGCACTGCCAAGCTCAAAGACACAATTGCTACAAGAGAGTAATAAGGTGAGATGGTCATAAAAAGTTCAGGGGACTTACAAGCTGGTGCAGGTGCAGGTGCCTTGACAGCAGTGATTGTCTTGCTGCAACCACATGTCTGCATCTGTGGTGTTGTCACACCAGAGACACTTGGAGTGCCAGACAAGCCACATGATTGACTGTGCATTTGGGCCTTCAATTGGGTGGTGGAAGGAGCTTTTGACAGTGTCCTTGACCTCACTGTTAAGGTCGTACTCAAAAGGTAACTGGAACTGAAGGGCTTCGGCCTCAGCTCATACACTGTGCCCCTTACCCAAGTATTGCCCCTTATTTCAGGAAGGCAAGCCTAGCACGTCCGGAAGGTTGGACGAGTAGTGTAATGGATCCAGATGACTTCCAGATGAGGAATAAGTATCATATGGCTAATCCAGACGAGTCCAGACTAGAAACTAACAGTAGTGGACTGTTGGGGACAGAGGCGGATACAGATAGACTATAGGAATCAATCCTAAGTCTTGGAGGGTGACGAGAGTAGAGGTACTCAAGTCCAGAGGACAGGAATGAGCAGAACTAAGATGATATTCAAACTGAGGTACTACAGAAAGTTACAGGAGGTTATATACTATAGGTATCTAATGGAATGATTAATCAGCAGAGTCTGAGGCTATGTACGAAGCATGTGGATAGTCTATTGGTAAGTAGAAATGGATCACAAATCATGAAACGGAAATGAAACATGAGTAGCGGATAAGGGAGTAGGACGGATATACAGATAACCGAAATACCGGAGTTAGGGGGTTACTGAAAAGAGACGAGCACTGGTTGTGGATTCAGATGAGTTGTGGAACGGACTGGACGAGTGGACAGATTGAATGACGAGATGTTGGAGGGGGATAAGATGTGGATAGCATTGGAGATAAGATGTGGATCTGAGATAAGGGTCAGATCTGAGATCCAGATATGCGGATATGACACTCACCCTTCATGTGGTCAACTGACCTTGAGAGCATTTTGGCAGGGTTCCAAGAGTTGTGGAAATACATTTTACCTTTTTTGTTGTGCAGAAGACACATGACAGACACCCCTTTCCACTCCTCTGGTCATACTGAGTGGTGTGGGGTAACCCTTGCTTGTTGCAAGCCTGGCATGGGTTGTTCTGTGGGTTCCATTAGCCCATGGACCCACTCCATTGATTCAAAGTACTCACCAGTCTGGGTATGAGGATGTCATCTGCATCAATGACTGGTGGTACCTCCACCAGGGTATTCAACATCAATTGCGAGGGCTCCATCACCTCTGGACATCTGCCAGAAATTGCCTGATAAATTGTGAGCATGGATCTGGGTGCCAGCTGCATAAATTAGACTTACCATAGCAGGGCTGAAGGATTTCTTCTTTGGGACCTGGGGTGAGCAAGGTGATCCAGACATTCTTGACACAATTGTGGGGAGGTCTGGATGGATGACCTCTGGCATGCCACCCAAAGCTGGCTACAAGACAGTCAATAATAGTCAAAAAATGAATCAGACAACATACCTTGATGATTGAGTCTTCATCATTTTCCAACTCCACAAACTGCCTTGACTTCATAATGTAAGTTGACTTCACCCACTTGTGACCCTTCATTGCCAATTTCAGTGGTTGGGAGGAGGGTGCTGGAATCATTGGCAATTTCCTCTTCCTACTCCCTTCTGCTTCTGGCTCCAGGTCCACAACAACTGCCTTACCTTTCCCCTTCTCCTAGGACTCAGTGGTCATGTTGGTGGAAGACCTGGCAATATTGCTGGTGACAACAGGTGGGGAGGGAAGGTCAACTGGAATTGGACCTACCAAATTAGCAACCTCAAGGGGGAGATCAAACATATGGTCCCCTGACACCTCCCAGGCAACAACCTTGCTGTGCCAGCTGTGCCTTAACAGACAAGGATCATTATGGCTGATGCTGTGCCAGTTGGGCCAAACCTGGGGGGTCATGCTCCAAACTCAAAGTAACTCTTTTGAGCATGATAACACAATCCTGGGAATGCATGGTGCATCCACATGCTCCCAGATGGCCTTAGCCTGCCTGGATATTAGAGAAAACAGAAGAAACAAAAAAAAAGATCCACATACCACAAGTTCAGTAACCTGTGATGTCAAAGTAAAGTGACTGTTGCCTGGCAGAAGTTGCCAAGCACTGCAGATGATGGCCAAGATCTGGGCAGTGATTGCTTTGAGACTGGTGAAAGAGGTGTCAACTGGAGTAGACATGGAGATTGATGTGAAAATGTTGAAATCAGATGTAACAAGGATGGAGTTTCAGAAGAAACAAGGCAATTGATGGGTGATCTATAAAATAGTTGATTGTTTGTCTTTATTTGGTCATGGTTCAACTTTCAGCAGTTGCCTGCCTTGTGTTGAACTTCAAAGTTATCAATTATCAGTCAATCAGTCAATCAGTCCCTCACACAACATGAGCTCACATCAAATAGTTCGATTGAATGAGCATCCAGTGACTGAATATAATTCAATGGATGTGGATAATTCAACTGAGTCCCAGATATCAACAGGTATGTTCTATTTCTATTATACCTTATCTATTTACTGGACATGCCTTAGATGATTTATACCTTGGGCCAGATGATGTCATAGATTATGATTCTGTCATCCAGTGGTCTGGATGTGTTGGCTTCAATCCCTGGTAGGTTTATCAATTCAATAGGATCAAATATGACTATCCATGTTCACTAAAATCTTACAGATCAATCACTTCCAGCTCAAGCTGATCAACCAGCTCTGCACATCAACCTGAACTTGTACCTTGGGCCTGATGATGATCTGATTGATTGTGATGATGAGCTGGAGTCTGCTAATGCTGATAGGGATGCTCCAGTTGCACCAGAAATATCCATGTCATGTAAGTTAAACCATACTATCACATTATTGATACTTAATTCATCTCCCAAGTGAATGAAAAATCTGCCAAATGTCATTCAGCAAAGCTGGATCTCACTAATAAAGAACTGTTACAACTGAGCTAAGTCTGCAGCAGGCAAATGAAGTGAGGGAGTAATGTGGAACTTGGATTGGGGCTTGCACCAAGCCTGCTGCAACCAGTGGGTATTTGATAGTACAAGTTCACAGCAATCAATCTAGCTGTAAGGGCTACAATCGATTATCGACAATTATGACGGCAAGTCATCAATCATTCTCTTTTCAAGGCTAAGGATGTTGGCAGCAACAAGCTCCAACAAAGGTACTTGATAAAGAGGAGAGCTTGCTTAGGGCTCAAGGAGTAGACAGTATGAACCAAGTAGATTCAAGTTAGAGAATACAAGTGCTACCCATAAGGTATATATACCATTGGAAGGGATAAGGGCAGGTCCGCTGCATTAGTGGTAAGGGTAGAGGGTGAATGAGTCACAATGAGTCAAGATACCAAAGTAAGTAGAAAGTACCAGTTGAGTGGTAAGGGTAAAGGGGACACGAGTCATGGTGGGTCATGACAAGTCAGAATACCATAGTAAGTAAGAAGTACCAGTTGTGCAGTAAGGGCATAGGGTTGGTGAGTCATTGGATGAACCGAAGATAAGGTACAACCAACTAAGTGGTTGGTGGAACAATCAAGAGAAAATGATAGAACAATCAAGAAAAGAGAAAAGGGGCGATTGCCTGAAGAGGAAGGAGTCCAGTGAGGGCATGAGGCAGGAAAATGAATAGGGGCCAAACAAGTGTTATGGTGAACCGTAAGTTTCGACTAGGATAGTCGCGACGATAGGTACTCGATAAGAGTACGCCTAAAGTCGAATCGTGTCCTCACAAATGTAAGGTTCTTAAGACAAGTCAAAGAGAGTGTCTTTGGCTTGAATATCGGCTTATCAGACGACTTAGGATTGGGAGTCCTAAGCGAAGGATGATGCAGGTAAAACCTAGTAGATTAAAGTGAAGTCTAACTAAGTACATGACCATGCTTATATAGACGTAGGTAGTTTAGGGCAGGTACACATACGTCATCGTCCGAGTCAGAGATAAGGGACATGAGTCAACCAGTGACGTCATCAACCAAGTCAGAGATAAGAGATATGAGTCAGCTAGTGGTGGCACATGGCGGCCATGCTGTAATACAGATATGGAAAGACATTAGCCTAGTGATGGCACAGGCAAGTGCGGTCATGGCATGATACACAAGTGGAAGTCAAGAAAAGAGATAGGGGTAACCACGGTTGTAACATTACCCCTCGTTTAGCGATGAAGTCACCAACTTCACATATCTTGGTTAGCCCAGTAGATGGGGTCCACGTCGTAGTTGGAATGAAGAAGATCGTCTTGCTCTTCTGTAATGGTGGTATGCGCCAAATGCTCACTGTGAGTGATGGCGTCTTGCTCGATCTCCCAGCGAGCGAGTGCGTCGTAGAAACCGACGTCAGTCCATACCAGTGGAATAACTGCTTCCCCTTTCAACTCTTTGCAAAAGACCGACAAATGGCCTGGTGCGTATTCGTTGCACACTCTACAATAGTATGCAGGGCAGTTCTTGTGACGATGTCCAGTGACGTGACAATTATGACATACGACGTTATCGACTGGCGATGTTTTTACGACTGTGACCGATGAAGACTGGTTTGGGGGAGACAGCGACCATGATCGTTTAAGTGGGGCTTTAGTGGGTGAGACGGAGGCGGCTCGCTTGGCAGCGAGACGGGAAGATCTACGTTTGAGCGAGAGTCATCGTGTGGTACGTACGACTGGGTCAGGTGAAGGAGAAGCCGGTACGTCAAGTACGGCAATAGGAGGGATGTTATCATCCTGATGCTCCACGGTAGTTGCAACAGGAACTGGCGGTGGTACTGGTATGGGGACAACGGCATGGGGTGATGGTGGCCTTGCGACGGGATTGAGAGCAATCCATTCAGTGACGATGTGAATGGCTTCTCTGATAGCGTCTCTGGTTTCTTCTGGTAGGAGGCGGATTGCGGTGTTGCGGATGTGTATATGAAGGTGATGAAAGATAGTTTGATGACGCTCATCATCAAGCAGGGCGGCAGTGCGGTCGATAAGACTGGCATCTCTGATAATGCGGATTATGAGGCCGCTAGAGATTGCTCCTCTTTCTCCAAGGAGGCGGTCTATCTCAATAGCGTATTGCTGAGAGGTAATAGCGGATTCAAATAAAGCGCTGGTCTCAACCTGATCAATGATGGAGAAGTAGTCGGTGAGAGTGGAGTCGTCAGTGAGGGTTAGGGTGGAGTCAGAAGTAGGCGGCGAAGTTATGGGGGGGGAGGCGTGCTGCACAAGGTCGGCGGCGGTGGCGTTCTGGTAGTCGAGGAGTGTCAATGGGTGGGCGTTTCCTTCAGCGACAGTGTTCATGGCAGCGGTGAGTTCTTCGATGCGGAGGATACAAAGACGTAGTTGTTCGATGTGGGACATTATTCGGAAGTCTATAACCCATGGGTCCTTTTATAGTTGGTGAGGATGTCGGAGGCATTACTAAGGTTTTCTTCTGGGACCCACTCATTGCTAGCTGACGAATATCCTTTCCACGATAAGAGATAGCGTCTTCGTTTACCTGTCCCCTTATGCGATAAGATCGCATCAATTTCATATTCTTCTTCGTTATCGATGATGTCAGGTGGTGGATCATGGAAATTTGGTCCGTGGACCTCTGTTTCGTGATAGGCTGATAACTCAGAAGCATGGAACGTGGGGTGAACTTTCCATTGGGGTGGTAGTCGGAGTGTGAATGTGATAGGAGACAGGACGGCGGTGATTGGGAATGGGCCATACTGCTTAGGGGCGAGCTTTCGCGAAGGTAGTTGCGTGATCAGATTCTTCCCGGATAACCAAACCTTATCTCCAATCTTCCAAGGGTGATACTTTTGCCCGTGAGTTCTTTCTGCCATACGCTGCATCGCAAGATTGTGACAGGAGAGCGCTTCTTCTCTGGATTTCTGGAGCGAACGCAGTCTGTCTGCTGCTGTGGGAACTGTGGAGTCGGGGAGGGTGTGCGGAAGGGCTCGTGGCTCGTACCCCATCATCAGGAAAAATGGTGACGCATTGTGAGAGTTGTGCTTTCAGTGGTTATGTACGAATTCTGCCATAGGGAGCTGTTCTACCCAATTTTCAGGGTTGTTTCGACAGTAGATTCGGAGGTATGTTTCCAATTCCTGGTTGAGCCGTTCGGTCTGTCCGTCAGTCTGAGGATGGTAGGCGGTTGATGCCGCTACGTTGTATTTCAGAAGCTTGGCAAGAGCTTGAGAAAACTTGGATATAAATTGCGGGCCACGATCGGAGATGACTTTTTCGTGTAGGCCAAATCGTCGGTAAACATATTTGAAGAATTTGTTGGCGACCCCTTCAGAAGTGATGGTTTTGGTACATGGAATGAGAATTACCCCCTTCATAAGGCCATGGTCAACCACGACCATGACAGAATCAAACCCAGCGCATGGGGGAAGGTCGGTAATGAGATCAACGGATACTTGAGTGAAGGGAGCCGCGGCGATGGAAGGAATGGGGACAAGGGGAGGCATCGTTGGATGAGTATCGGATTTTATCTGCTGGCAGAGGGTGCAGCCTTCAACGTATTTACGAATGTAGGTACCCATGGCGGGCCACCAGAAGTCACGTTTGACCAGCTCTTCAGTTTTAAAACGTCCCGGGTGACCGGCGGTGGGGTGGTCATGACATCATTCTAAAATAAGGCGCCGTCCAGCGGGACGAACGTAGGCGCGGTCTTTATAATAGAGAATATCGTCGCTGATCCTCCAATCTGTAAGAGCAGATTTCATAGGGGGAAGAGACATGCCATCCAGCGCATCTGAGGCGGCAGTGAAGATGGGATCGGGGTCAGAGGGATCAGGGTTCACAAGGGTAGTCATGAGTTCCGTGTCAAGAAGTCGGACAAACATGGAATCAGGGAGGAGGGTTTTGTTGGTGTTATCTTCGGTGGAATCTGACCCGTGATTGGGGCAGTGGGAGAGGGCATCGGGGGCGACAAGTTTAGTCCCTGCAACATGGTGGAGCTCAATGTCATAGCAGGATAAAATTAACTGCCATCGTGCTTGGCGGCGAGTTAACTTCTGGGCCGTCCTGAAATATAGAAGGTTCTTGTGGTCGGTGAAGACGATGATGGGATGGGGATTCCCTTCTAAGTAATGGCGCCATTCGGTCAGTGTGCGAATAACCGCAAGAAGTTCCCGATCAAAGATCTGGTAGTTTCGTTCTGCAGGATTCAGCGTCTGGGACAAATATCCACATGGATGATAGAGACCATTATCATCGGTCTGGAGTAGGACTGCACCCGTGGCAACTAGGGATGCGTCAGTGGCGACTGCAAACTGTCTGGTGGGGTCAGGATTACGAAGGACTGGTTGCTTTAAGAAGCATTCTTTCAGTTCTGAAAACGCGGATGCGCATTGTTCTGTCCAAAGGAACTTGATGTCTTTCTTGGTAAGGTCGATTAGTGGTCTAGCGATGTCGGAATAATGGGAAATGAAGTTTTGGTAGAAGTTGCAGAAACCTAGAAACGACCGAACTTCTTTCACGGTGGTGGGGACAGGCCAATCTCGAATTCTGCTAGTCTTAGCGTCGTCCATTGCTATGCATCCAGGACGGATGATCATCCCGAGGTATTCTACCTCCTGGGCGTCAAACGTGCACTTTTCGGGTTTAAGGAAGAGCCGTTCCTTCCAGATTCTTTCAAGAACGCGCCGAGTTCGTTCACGATGGGAAGTAAGGTCGTTCGAGAAAATTAGGATGTCGTCCATGTATATGACGAGCCATCCTTCGTTAATCTCCTGCTGGAACATTCTATTCATGTATGCCTGGAAGGTGGCCAGCGAGTTGCAAAGACCGAAGAACATGACATTTGGTTCAAAGAGACCGTATTCCATAGTAAAGGCAGCTTTCCATCGGTCTTCAGGGTGAATACGGATATTGTTGTATCCAGACCGGACATCCATCTTGGTGAAGTACTCGGCACCATGTAATCGCGCAATCAAGGAGAGCGGTAGTGGAAGGGGGTAGGCGTTCTTGACCGTCC